CCCTTTCAGATCTCCCCGATACCCCTGTTGACTTGGTGATAAACTGCCTGGATTGTCATGAAAATGCCTTTCTGAGAGATCAGCCATGGTACAAAGCAGCTGTGGACTGGGCTAACAAGAACCGAGCACCCGTCCTCAGTATAGACCCTCCCATATGTGAAATGGAGCAGGGCATCGATGCCAAGTGGTCTCTTGCCTTGGGCTTGCCCCTGCCTCTAGGCGAAAGGGCAGGCCGGGTGTACCTGTGTGACATCGGCATCCCACAAAAAGTCTTTCAGGAAGTGGGAATCAACTACCACTCGCCCTTTGGCTGCAAATTTGTCATCCCCTTGCACTCAACCTAGAGCTGATCCCACAAGGCAGCTCAGAGAGAAGAGGTGGGGGTAGAGCCCCATCGAACAAGCTGTCTGATGGATCCTGACTAGCAAACTCTTGACGCCTTAAGGATGTGAAGTTCTGGGGTGGGGGGAACGGACTTTTCTTTTTCCTTCCAGAAGAAACATACGTATTAAACACAAAGTGAAGGGAGCAAAATGTTCCTGCAAGATGCTTTCACTCTCTCATGCCATTGTATGAAAGAACATGCAGGAAGCTGGTGTCTTTTTGGCTGGGGAAGGCAGCACTGGCTGGCACCTAGTCACCAGCCAAAGGTCTGTTGACGAGGGAGGAAGGTTTTGTTTGCTGATGCAAGTGGCTGTCAGCTAGTATGGAGAGTTACAAGATAATGAGAATGATCTGGGGTTCAGTTCATTAGGGAGAACCCTTTCTGCCCAGCTTGGGGGCCCCTTTGGGGAGCAGCATCCCATAATCATGTAGAAATGTCTGTTACTCTTTTTTTTCCTTTTATTTTGATTATTTTTTTCCTCCATGAAAACAATAGGAGCTAAGATTCTGCCTTCTAGAGCTACTGAGCCTGTAAAGATTGAGGCTCTGCCTTTTGAGAGCTGGTATAAAGAGTCCCAGGCTCTTCCCAGCACCTGTATTGGCTACTTGGCAATCCTGTGCCAGTACTTGCTTATTGCCCTCTGGCATTTGTTTCTTGGGTGTTTGGTTTTTTGTTTGGATTCTTTTTTTGCTTGCTTTGTGAATGATGCCCATGTCTTGGGGAAGGAGGTGTATTTACTATGTTGGCCCTTCTGCCAGAAAAAGCCTTTTGGAAAGGAACTTTTCCAAGGTGGATATTTCCCCCACCTCCAGCAGGGTGAGTAATCTCAGTGATTTGAGTGTGCCAGGGCACAGGCTGATAGAATTATGCTAATTTTAATACCCAGTGTTTTGGCACGGGGGTTGTTTGGACATGTTACTGTGCCCAGTGCCCGTGTATGGTAGCGACACCAGCCTGCTCACTCCCCTCTTCCCCCTTCCCCCTCCCAGCTAGCAAATGGCTTGTGAAGAACATCATTGTTCCATGTCCTTTGAGAGCAAAGTCCATGTGAAGGGGGGGTTATTCCCTTACATGTATGCTTAACACCAGGTTTTTAAAAGTATTTAGATACTTTGCTCCCATTGAAGATGGTATTTTTAAATACCTTTAAAAATCTGGCCTTCAGTTTAGGTTGGGATCTTACTTGGAATGGAAATTGTAAGGCATTTGCCTGCCCTGATGAGGCAGGCTGTAAAAGCAGAGTCAAATGCAGTGCATATAAATATACAAACAGGGGAAGGCACTGCATCACATGCCCACACTGCTCGAGTGGGGGAAGGCTCCAGCTGATTCTTAGCAGGGACAGAGATTCCTCCCCATGTATCCTCACTATGGCTAGAACTGCCTAGCCATGTGGTCTCCTGGGCTTGTGTGAATGTAGTGTTAAATGTGCACTGTTTATACCAAGCAAGTGGCTTTGTCATGCTGTCTGCAGAGGTATTTACTGTGGTGCTCCTTGCACAGCCACTCTGGTCTCTACAGCTAGTGCATCTTGTTCTTGAGCAGGAAGGTGAGAGGTTTTCACCTGAAATCCTGTCCTGGGTCTGATCCTTTTTGGCATTTTCTAGCTGGTTTTGTGCTGCACTGATTTTTGGTTTGTTTGTTTGGGTTTTTTTTTCCACTCCCCACCCCCTCACTCCCCTTCCCCTTTTTGTGCTGCCAGGAAAGTGTTTTGTGCTCACTACACTGCTGAGAGCATCCTGGGGCAGTGCCTAGAGCCGAAGGGATCTGACAAGCCTTTGGGCCGACTTCTTCAGTCCATCCTGCTGGACCTCTTTCTAGTTTCTAAAGGTGCCAATCCTATCTCTGTCTAACAAGGAGAAACATTTAAACCTGCCTGGAGTCTTTCAGAAAAAGCTTCATTCGGGCTTCCCACCTTTTCTATAAAGGAACAAGGCAGAGACGTGGAAGCAGGGTGAGGAGTAGCTCTTGTGGGGGTGGGGTGCTTTTTCAAGCACTGCAGCTACTCAGACTTCTCCCCTGCTGTTTAATTCTCCCCTGAGCATAGGCAGTGCTCAAAAGTTTGGCCTTTGATCTGTGGCTAGGCCTGCACTGGAAGCAGCCAGGTCCTGGCAACCAGGCTAGCTTCAGGCAGTGTTATTGTGGAGAATTCCAAGCTTTGTTTGGTGCCTTTCCCAGGGGAGCATGGTTTCCTCTGAAGCATAGGGCAGCTATTCTCTATGAAAGGAGGAAACGTCTTGCTAAGCTATTTGGGAACTGCACTTTTGAAGAGGAGCAGCTTTTTTAAAGCACCCTGTTTAACCACAAATTTTGTCTGGGTGCATGGGGTTTGCATTGTGATGCTTGGACAAGGCAGGCACTTGGATCCAACCCTGTCACTGCTCACACCGACTTAGGAAGCTGTCACTGAACAAAGGCGGAGTACATTGAATGGACCGAGCAAGGTGAAAAATGAAGGGGTTGGGAAGAGGCTTCCTGTATCAAAGGGAAGTAGGCTTTGTTTCCTTGAGCAGTGTTCAGCATGACCTGCAAATGGGGAAAGTACACTGCAAAGTAATGTGTCTAGCACTGCTGACCTGTACCCCTGGAAAAATAATCACTGGTTTCTTCATAATATACAGTATGCCAATGTTGGGCAAGGGCATTGGGAGGCACCCCTGCTCTTCCCAAATGTACTCTTGCAGTAATTACTGTCCTTGCAGGACTCTGCTCTGTAAGGCTTCAGTTAAAGGACCTTCCATGTCCCATGGCATGGAACGCACTGTATCTACCTCAGGAGAATGAGGGCTATGCCCAGCTGGTTTTGGGACCCATGGTTCCAGCAAGTTTTATCTCAAACCTGAGCTGGAACCGTGGACACCGGCTTGTGTGTCATGGCCTTTTAGTGCTAACAGTGAGACTATCAATGACCAAGTTCTTCAGTAATAATCTGACTGGGTGTCTTTTTGCATCCTGTTTTTTATTTGCTTCCTCCTCTAAAACAAGCACCACAGAGCAAGGCCCAGAGCACCTGCCTAATTGCATTTGAGGCTGGTGAGACCGTCATGACTAGCAGCAGCACAGTGATGGGTTGTACCATTTAAAAAGTACAAGTCAAGGCTTTCCTCTGCCTTCCCTTGGCATTAAAATGCTGCAGCAGCAAAGCCCTTTTTCAAAGGGGCAGAGGATGAAAAGACTGAATAAATGAGATGAAAATTTTTCAAATAGCCAATCATGGCAGTAGCATTGCCTTAATTCTGCTACATCACTCTTCTTTCCAAGATCTGTCTCTGAACCAGTCCAGAGTTGGTTATACAACTAACTAGTACTCTGGACAATTTGAACGGGCTCTAACTCTATAGTGTTGAAGCTCTTGGCCACTGCCACACACTTATACTGGCTAAGATCCCCTTTTTTGCCACAGTGTGGTTCTGGGAATTGTTTGAAGTTTGTTAAAACTGGTTAGTGTTAACACAAAAGGAGATCTTGAACATCTGCTGCAGTAGTAAGGGAAAGGATCCCTTCTAAGGAATGATCAGTTGGAGCACTGTTTGACTAGCTCACTGCTCCTCTGTACCAGAACTACAGCACTTTGATATAAGGCTTTTGCAGTCTTAATTAAAGCTTTATAATTCATTCACACCAAGAGTAGACTGTATTCATCTTTCCTCTGAGAGGTTTGATTATTGACAGAGGAACTAAGGCACTGGTCTCTTCCTGCTGCAGCTTATTGCAGATGTACATTATGTCTTGCAAGCTGAAGGAGGTGTATGTTGCTGTTGCATCTACTACATCCAGTGGGAAGGGTGCATCCTCCCCTCCCCTCCCCTCCCACTTGTCAGCAATCTTTACTAATAAAGCCTACAGTTTATTGTGGTGAAGGATGTTAATTAGGTTTTTGTATTGCCATGGCTAGGTTTTTACCACCCTCACAAGGGCAGTGGCAGCCACCGGCTCACTTCTAGAAAGCAGAGGAACAGTTGTTACTGAGTTCAGTTCTGCATCACTCTTCCTTGAAGCTTGTTATGAAACAATGTGATTAGTATTCTTTTCTCAAAAGCAATGGAGGAACTCTTGTCTCTTGTCACTGACTGAGTAAAGGTAAATGCACAACTGTAATCAGTCAATGTCATTCATGGAAAACTGTTTTGTAATGACTAATTCATGCAGCTATTGGGGAAACACCAGCCCTGAAATAAAGCGCAGCTGTTCATGTGTGGTAAGGTAACTTGTATATGTTGAAGCAGTGTCTCTGGTAAATGGTGGGCTTTTACACCCTTTGTATACTCTTCAAGTACTAAACAGGGAACAGGGTTAGAAAAATCATAATGTAGTAGACATGATCCTTCTCTGCTACTCACTTAGACTTCAAAATTAGCATCAGTTCACACAGCTCTTTTCTGGAGCTTGTTATCCACTCAATAGAAAAAAGACTAACTTTGCACTGTCTCAAACTTCTTCCAAAAAAAAAGAAAAAATTACAAGGTTACCTTGAACCAGCAAAATTAGTTCTCATGTTGGTAACAATGCAGTTGTGGATAAATATAAAACCACTCTTTATTAACAGAAGAGGCTGGCAGATTGGGAGCAAAAATAGCTACACATCCGTACAAGTAAATTATCAAACAATAAGAAACACTTTTATTTTAACTTTACAACATATAAATAGACAAATCTGTGCTTTCCATGTAGCTTTTTCTTCCCCTCCCATGCCCAGGGTCCATCTCACATTGCACCAGTACCTCTGTGCTACAGGAGAGCTACTGGAGCCTTTACTGCAGAGGTCAAACTGATCCACAAGTATGTACAAATGCTGAAGGCATCACTACCCTCCCCCCATCTGTCATCTGCTCAGGTCACGGCTTGAGTCCCGGCCACACAGCATCCTTTCTTCTGGAGACAGGCCGGTAAAGAACGGGTGCATCAGTGCTTCGGAGAACATGATCCTTTGGGAAGGATCAAATTCCAACATCCTTCTCATCAGGTCAAAGAACTGCAGGTGGTCTAGTGAGTCATGCAGCATGTAGGTCTGAAAACAAGAGGACCGCATAGTGAGGAAGGGACTGTGAGCTCAGGTACTCTTGCCAACTTCACAAGATCAAAACTCAAAGTACGTTTTGGTGCTGGTACCATTAGGACTGAAGTTTTCCAGCCCACCACAGCCACAAGTGTCTGGGAGCAAACAGCTCCAAGAGGTTCCAAACAGACCCATGGCATGACACTACAGTGACTGCACCCTGAATCTTAAGAAAGCCAAGGGAAATTATGAAAGAATGACGGAGGGAGGGGACTTAAAGCCAAAGGTTGCCCCTTTATTTCCACATCACAAGCAGGCAGCTGACAAAATCGGGAAGGGCAGTTTCCAGCCCCACAGGGTTCTCTCTTCTGTGGCTACAGCAGCAGCTCAGACAAATAGGGGTGGGGGACAGAAGGGTTTCAGACCATTTTTGAAGGTGACCCCCTCCCCTCCAAAAAAGCTCACATACATGCATATCAGCTCCTCATTGTAGCCTGAGTGGAAGCTGCATTATCAGCAGCTGGTTGGATGTGGGTCAGTGAAACCTGCTCCCCCTCTCCTATTAGCTGATGAAGATCTGGGCTAGGGCATCTTTACTATATATGATACAGCACCAAGCAACAACAGGGCAAGACAGATTACTGTCCAATTATCACCTTTGGGTGCAAAGTCAGGGGGTGCCCACTTCCACATACACAGGTGTGGAGATCACTTGGGAGCAGCAGCTTTCCTTGTGCTAGCTTGAAGCCTCATTATTACGCAAGCAGCTCACAACCTAGCAATTCCCCAGAACACTCCCAGAGGCAGGAAGTACCATCACCCCCCACTTCTTAAAAGCAAAAGGAACCAAGGCACAGAGTTTGCCCCAAGTCCACACACAAAACCTGTAGCAAAGCAGGGAACTGAACTCAGGTCTCTCAAGCTCTGTGCTGACACCTACTACTAGATTAACCCTCTTTAAGGCATGGCTCCTATCAGGACAGAGCAGGGACTGAACCAAGTAAAGAGTTCTGAGCTGCAGCCTTCCAGGAGATTTAAAAAAAAAAAAAAAAAAGCTGTCCTAAATTGACTGAGGGAGCTACACACATACGCTAGCATTACATCCTGCAAAAATCCCTGCAGCCTTCCAAGCTAAGAGCTGTTGTGCTGGAAGGTATGATTCACTAGAAAATAGTGGTGATGCCGGTTTGGCAAGGGGACTATTCTCCCCCCAGGTCCCTCTCAGCAAGCAGCAGGTGCGTGATGGTAATACTAATTAGATTAACTACATGCCCCCAGCTCCCTTTGTTGTTGCATCTCTTGACAATCATAAGCCCTATGTCTCCACACAGTTCTTGCTATCACTATCACCATCCCAATTCTTAATTTGGAAAACAAGGACACCAAGGCCACAGTGAGCCAATAAATAGTTACAAGGAGAGAACACCAAGGTGTACATACAGGCTGTACACAGCACCTGCAACAGCAACTCTCACGGAGGTCAACTCAAGTGGCAGGCGTTCAGAATGGCTGGACATTGGGCCTAAGACAATGCGTTTTTCAATCCCTTGTCCTATATTGAGCCAGCCTGCTTCCAGTGAATTGTATGACTACAAAATCACCAGAACACACCGAGCAGCAATCCCACACTGGCTTCAAAGGGAGAGAGCCAGCCTGACATCCACCACTAGCTTCTATGTCAGTGCATCATGGCAAGAAAACATGCAAAGGCTTTACAAACTCTGACCATCTCTTTTGGAATAGGGCCATAGGCAATTAAAATGCACTGATTTAGGCTCTTTAAAGGCTGAATAATTATTCCCAAGGGACTCACCAATTAAGTCATGGCAAGGTGATTTCACCAAGTCTTTCATAAGTCAAACTAAGAAGAATATAACCTGGGCAATAGCGATCATCACCTGCTGAATTTCACTATCCAACGCAGGGCACCAAGGGCTCACACCAAGGCTAAAGCCCTTGACTTCAGAAGGGCCAACTTCAATGAGCTTAGGATATTAGTAGGGGAGGCACTGAGGGCCCAGAAGGTAGAGGAGATGGGAGTCCATGAGGAATGGTCATACCTTAAGGGGATGATCCTCCAGGCCCAAAGGATAACAGCCCCTGAGAGAAGCAAGGGGGGCAAGAGTGCTCAGAAACCCCCTTGGCTCAGCAAGGGCATTCAGCAATGCCTGAAGACTAAAAGGGGGCATACAACCAGTGGAAGGGAGGAGCTATCACCAAGGAGGAGTACTCCTCCTCGGCCCAGGAGTGTAGGAAGGCTATCAGGAAGGCCAAGGCAGAGATGATACTCAGGCTAGCATCCAGGATTAAGGACAACAAAAAGTCCTTTTTCAAGTACATTGGGAGCAAGAAGAGGGTACCAGGCAATGAGGGCCCCTGCAAGATGCAAACAGTAATCTTGTGGCTACACCAGACAAGAAAGCTGATATTTTGAACAGTTTCTTTGACTCTGTTTTCTTGAACAGGGACCGGGATACCCCACCTACCAGAGGTAGGGACAATCTTGGGGATAGCTCCGTCAGGCCTTCAGTCAGCACAGATGTAGTTAGGGATCTTCTGGAAAGGCTAGACATTTTTAAATCTGCAGGTCCAGATGCCCTCCACCCAAGGGTGTTGAGG